AAGAGCAGGCGTGCAATTATATTTCGCTTGAAGGTTGTGGCCTTAAAAACTTGGTGTGAGGGTGTGACTACTTCTTGATCTTTTATTTATGGAATAGAAGGCAAACGAGCAGACGGATCACCTGATGGTAAGCGATCAGCGCCGCCCATAGACACCCGCAATACCAGAGGAGTCACAGGTGCGTTGCCGGCCTATGATCTTGAAAAGAATGCTTTTAACTATTGTTTTAAATATTATTTCTATCAATAAACTTACGTACTCTATAGCTCATAACCAATTACTGAGAAATTTCTCCCTTGTAAACATCAACAAGCATAAAACAATATCCGATATTTTTCTTCAATCTAAAAAAATGATTACCACATAACATGGTAATGGTACGATCCAATTTTCAATTTATCGAAAATATCGTTTTATACAGACACAGCAGTATACTTAATTTTAGGCTTTCAAATTTAAAATAGATGCACAGTGTAAAACGCGATCATGCTTGAACTTTATAAACAGAAGAACCTCTATTTTCGCCCAAATTAATTGTTTCCTAGCCTTTGTTTGTTTTGAAAGCAGTTTACCTTTAATTTCGAAGTCAGTTTTAGTTCGCTTAATGAGGGTTGGCATTTAGTTGTTTTTGTTTGAAATGTTAACTAGATCTTCAGAGCTGCGAGCTCTGGTTTTGTTTTCCATTTTATTATAAAGTTTTCTGTTGACTATCTTGTTAATAGCTGTATAATTTGCTTGTTGCTAGGCGTCCCTTTTCTAGGAGCTCGTAATTGGATTTTCGTTATTCATACTTTGTCCGTAGTTAGAATTAATTTGTTTTTACCCTTCTGAAATTATTTTGTTGCCGTCCCTTTGTAACCTAAAATGAATAGTCCTTTGACGCCTCTTTCCAATGATACTCGCCTCATGTATCTTGCTAAATATTAAAAAAATGTCTTCAGTTCATCAGCTACGAATTTTTATTTCTTAATAATTAGACTGGCAAAACATGGTCTCTCTCTCCTAATTGCTAGTTAAAAAACACAAAAGAGTAATTACCAACTTGTTATTTAATCACATCATCCCACCTTTTTCTAAAAATAAAAGGCACGTCAGCTTCAGAAAGCTAGCAATCCCCAGACAAAGAGCACAATCTTTATTCCTTCACCTGCCACGTCTTATCAGGCAGACAAATTATTAAAGGAAGCTTCTATCTCGTTGAGGATTCAACCGGTTCTATTCCCGGTCCTGCTTTGTCGTGGGCGAGAACAGCATTCCCAAAACGACCTGAATTAATTGAGCCTACAATTAAACGGACAGGTTTGACGTACAGCTCCATCGCTTCTGTTCCTATGGGAGATGTTAGTATACTAGTTATTTTTAGCTCCAAAATATGTCAGGCTTTGATACAGTACTTATATTTTCAGTCATTCAAAATTGATTTAAATGTTGGGCCTTTTAGTAAAGTTTTTAATATAGGAAAAACATATTAGATACAACAACAAAGGATAATTTATTAGTTTTATTGATAAATTACCTGCAGAAGGGAAAATTCTTTTGTTATTCAAATGGGTCATATGAACCACATTCACGTATGCTTGAAATGTTCAATGTAATAAGTTATTTAATTTTGCTAGTCAAGTCAGGTTTAATAAATTAACTGTGGTGCTGTAGGATAAGGTTAGCCAGGCCAGTTACCCATGTCTTTTAGGACATCACTACTAAATCAAATAAAAATAGATGTATATAGTTCAAAAAAGAATAGCATTTTGTTAAAAAATAATGATTTTAAAATGAATGCATAGAGAATTATTATACCTCACGGACGTTCTCGAAGCCTCACAAAAATATGTAACGATAGAACCTTATATAAACCACTACTATGAATACACAATCAAGTTGACTGGATATAGAAATAATTTACTGCTCCTATTGCAGTCTGTGCAGGTTAATGATAATTGCCTTGATAAGTCAGTTTTTATCTTGAGATTGCAAACTGGTTGCCAAGTCAATATTGGTCCTTTTATACTTTTGTATAATAATGATTTACGTCTATAGTTTCTAAGTTAATTTTACAAAGCATAATGGCCGTATTTTAACAATAAAATCTCATGTTACACATTTCTGTCTCCTGGTAAATGTTCAAACAAAATCTCCACTGAATATTTGCCTCTAAACATCACACTAAAAATAAATCTCTGTTAGAAAATACAAAGCTGAATCACGACACCGTCCAATTTAACGAGACATCTCTGAAGACACTGTCCTTTCGTGCTCGGAACCATTTTAAGAAAACAAAAGAGGGGTTGGAAGGTCAGGTTGCCTTGGTCGTTGATGCAAAACGTGAACCGCAACGTGCAACTACGATGCTGCGATAAGAAATTGCACGATTCTCAGTGGAATTTCGTAAGTAAAGCGATGTAGCGCTTAACGTGGTTTGTTATGAACTAAACAGTGAATATTAATTACTTGATTTTTTGCTACAAGAGCTGAAAAGCATCTATCATTATTAGTGTTTAATGTTCAGTATCAGAGTTGATTTCGGCAGTTCTATTTTTCATATCTATTCTATTTATTTTCTGTTTTATTAGACTTTTACTGTTATTTCATTGTTATCGTGGTAATAACTAGTAGAAACGAGTTCAGTTATCAGCTTGAACCAGCAAATATGCAGATGTTTTACTTCATCGCTACAGGCTTGAAAAGTTAAATATTTGATGCAGGAATAGTTAAGGTAAATACTTCAGAAACTATTCTAATCTATTTATTTGAGAACATTCAACGTATGTACATTTACATAAATAATGTGTAATGTGTATTATTTTAAAGGAAATATATCTCTTTCATAACATAAAGTTATCTACGTAGGTAGGTACTCGTAAAGAGACAATTCAAGTTATCCACTGGAGAAATTCACGGAATATGATCTTAAGCATGATCTCAGGATAAAACCGGGTACCGAATATATCTTGGAAACGCCGAGCTGCCAACATGTTAATGTCGCCATTACCGTTTAAATTTTACAGGATTAATCTTGAAAGCCAAGACTTTAGCGTTGCTTGGATATTTGTGAATTCTCGACTACATTTGGGACAAACATTTGTCTACATAATTTCCTTTGTCAAAATTTATTTAGGTCTGAAACTTCCAAAGCATTAAACAGTTTGTTAATTTGAAAAGAACGGATCAGAAAACACAATATGAATCTCGTCACGACTAAAACTACAAAGCACCAATAAATTAATTAGTACAGAAACTACAATGGAGGGAGTGGGTTCGATCTAGGCGCGGCATTAATGTTAAATGAACGGAATGCCCGCTTTATACCTAATGATGATGAATGTAGGCCAATTTGTACCACTTGTGTGCATATTTTAATTTAGCGGGATGGCGGTAATTTTGGTTTTAATATTACCTCCGCGGAATAGTCGGGATAATGGCTGAACCTGAATCAGCAGTTCCATTTGAAATAGTATTCGAGTAGATCATCATGATTACAATAAAGATGAATAAGGAATGTAAAAGCTCGAAATGTTATTGGAATATGAATAAGAAGATTATATTGAAAAGCAGCTGGAAACTATACGGTTTCAGATCACAAATATTTTCGGGGCTGACTCAAATAGCTAACTCAATACCCCACAGCTAAATAAGGCGGGCCTAAGAGCTCTTAGCGTGGGTGTTTAAAAAGTGCCAAATTGGTGTGAATGAGAGGAATTATGAGCGCAAATTTCAGTTTCAAGGTACAAGTTATCAGCACCGGTCTGCCAATGTTCATTGCTGAACATTACACTCGACATTGCAATTATCTCCTCGGATTACTATTTAATGCAAATTAAATGAATATTTTTGTGTCATGTAGAAATGTTCATTATATTCGTCGTTTCTAAAATTTCTCCACACATTATGACTTTCTGGATATATCTTTCTTCAAAGGAAAATGATATGCAAAATTTTCAATTATGAATAACCTACTCTTTGAATATTGTATGACTCAACAATTCCTTAAGTAGGTTTTTGTCTGTAGCTTCTTTAGATTCTTTGTCTTGGTCTATATTGCTTTTATCATTCAATTAACTCGGTTGAGCCTTTTGGGCAAACAATATTGCTAAGCCTACTAAAGCCTTAGGAAACCAAACATGTTGTAACTGCGCATTTTCTTTTTCAATCTTCGTATTTGTTTTATTTAACGCTATAAAGGTTTTGAGATATTTTGGAACAGCAAATGTTTGCACATCGTGGTTTAGAAGAAAATTAGATTAGACTATCATAATATGTTTTTTTGGCACTGATTTATTATTTATATTGTCTATTTCAGAAACTTCTATGAAAGACCCAGTAAAAACCTATCGGCTGATCTTGATTTATTTATTGATTATTAAGGCAATGCAATGCTTAAGCTAAGAATAAAATCGTGAGTAATACATCGATTCCTCATATGGAGACACAAGTGACATAGGAAGTGCATGTACCTATATGGTGCTCGGTACTCTCTGACCACCCCGAAAGGAAACTAGATTGAGGATAATGTATACAGGTGTGTGATTCATATCGATATTCAAGGAACGAGTTTGGTTTGTTTACAGCCGGTCGATCATCGGATATGGATATTTAAATTGATTATCTTACTTCCGTTTTTCATTTGACCTCCTGTATTATTTACCTACAGTTGTTGTTCAAGTGGTATGCGTGTCTGCTGTGCACAAAATTTTGGCTCCTGTTGCAATGTCGTCTCTGAGTTCTGTTTTAGCTTCTACTTTTACTGTAGCTTACCCATTCGGAGCTGGCTTGATATTTAAATGTTTATGGTACTTATATGTTGGGCCTCTTTAAATTACACTTTAAGTTATGTTTGGTAGTGGGCACCGATGTCTTCTCTTATGAATACCTATCACATAGGTACATCATTTTTATCGTAAGTCGTCCATCTTTCAAATTGCGACTACAGTAACGATATAGTACACAACATGTTTAGTTAAATCTAATAATTCAAATTGAATTCACTGTTCGGTAGCCATAATGTGAGAAAATTATCGCACTCAATTGAAATTGTAGCTGTACGTAATATAAATAGCTATTTCATTCATCCAGTACACGACCTTGTTACCGGTTATCAACTCACAGTAAATTTTACGACCTTATTGTACCTATGAAGACTAGGTAAATTCTGATAAGAAGATAGATAACATTCGCGAACCCGCAAGGCAATCCCCTCTACTACACCTAGCTACTCTGACGCCAGTACGCTGCGCGCTCCGTCGATGAGAGGACGTATCGCGCGTCCCCTAAAATTAATACGACCACGGAACGGGCAAACAGGATGCTCTCCGTACGGAATAGTGATGAGAACAAACAATAGTGACATTCTTACTAAATAGGACTGTTCAATTAGTACCACCCACAACTTACTAATTGATGTGAATTTCCTGACCTTGAAAATCGACTAAAATGGATTAGTCTCAGTTTTTTGTGTTTATAATTCGAACGACATTGATCGTGATAAGTGAAGTAATTGAAATAGAGATGGGATTCGTGTAATCGATTATTTATTCGGTAAACAGTGCGGGAAGTGTGAATAGTTAACAATGTTGGCGGTCAAGAATTTTTTTATGCCTGAAAAGAGAGTGGACTCTCCCAGGTTTTCGAGGATGCCTGAGGCACTCATGAGGTCCATAAGGCGACGATCTTTGAGAGTTAAGAGGACGAAATCGCTGGTCCTAGTGAACGAAAAAAGGAAATCCGGTGAGTGGTAGTGTATGACTTCATTTTGTTTTTAATTACTTTAATTTTTTTTACTGATAAATTACTCTTTTTGTTATAAACCTCTGTGATACATTTATGTTTGTACAAGTGTAGGTTTCGCTTTGCTTCTATTCTTTTCACAAGTTTCTGTGACTTCATTATTTTTTATTATGTTTTAATAATAATTGCTACTGTCTGCTTTTAAAATTAAATTTATTTCAATAAAGCAGGACTGAAATTCTATTTCTAAAAAGTATACCTGTAGTTTTAATTTTTCTTTACTTTAGCAGAAAAACCAGCTAATTATACTGACATTAAATTTCTTTCGCTTCACTAATAAGACCTTTTGCACGGTAATTAAAAAACCACAACCCACCATTACGTATTCAATAATGGTCCCAATAACCAAACCCATGTATTGATTTTTTGCAACATTTTTTTACTTCTAATTCATGTAATTGCAAAATAGATTTTAAGATAGAAAATCAGCCGTTTACCTCACTAAGAATCAGTAGCAACGTGATTAGAAAACAATTCAGATTGAATTATTCATTGCACGAACATATTTTGCAATAGTACGTAATTTTAATTCGTGCTTACAGATTATTCTTCCGTAAAATTACTGCTATTGTTGATAATAATTTAATGAGTTGTCACAACACTACGTGAATAACATAACAGTATTGGCTTTGGTTATGTAACTTTGAACATGGAAATATTCTCTATGAGAAGTTTGCAGTGAAGCAAGGTGCACGTTCATTGCAGAATCGTGAATGACTCAAATGCTTGCAAGGATATTCGAGAGGACGATGAAAGTCTACAATGAGAAATTGACTGATAATGGTAATATTCTACCCAGCTCAAGAATGAAACCCGAGACCAATCTCGAACACAAACGGCAATGAAAACTAAATACCCATCGACAACCACGTCACAGAACAATTATAAAGTAATTAGTGACGTCTTTGTAATATCCATCTGCAAAGTTGTAAATACGAAATGAGTAAACAATTTCAGCAATATAAGGAATTACTTCTTAAGTTTTATTAGCAATTATATTTTCCTTGGTAGCTTTCTTATTACTTGTGTTCATATCAAGACCTTATCGTCGTAGATCTACGTCATCGCACGTGTCATCATTAGGCATTGTTTCATGTTCTTCTATGTCATATTTTAAATGGTCACTGGCCATAAAATTGAGCATACTTGTTGTAGATGCGACCATTGTTACTGGCCTATTTCGTTTGGCTACATACTAATGAAATTATTTGTAGGGCACTAGGATAATCGGGGTCATGTTCATAAATTTTTGAGTGTTCGAAATCTATTTTGTGATTGTTGTTAAGTGATTGAGTTGTTGTCTTGTAGTCGTGAGCTGTCGTGACTTTGGATCATCTATTAGCTGTTGGTTACCTAGATTCAGTTATCATTTTAGTTCTGTGTATCTTTAATATTATTATTGTCTTGCTCCTATCCTTAGTTTCATTAGAATCCGTTTAGATTTTGTGCAACATTCTCTTTTCAACCACCATTTTGCGAAGAGTCCCGTCTGTAATGTAACTCATTATTAAAATCGATTTTATGGTTAGACTTTTGCTTATTATCTAGAATATCTAGATCGAGAATATCAACATATTATATAGTTAGGATATATCAAGAATATTTCAATTATACATTGTAATAAATACCAAAATTGGTGTGGTCAACCAATTGTTTTCATTTCTGTACGTACCCAACTTCGCATTAACATTTAATTGAAATGCCTGATACAGATCTTCCAAGTTCTTATTGCAATAGTTACTCGTACAAATATAACGTAACTTTAATTCTCAAGGTTTAACAATGTCTGTGTACAGTCTTTTGATCTTTCAATACGCAATTGACGTTTTTTGTCAACGACTATAAAATCGACCCATATGTTGCATTTATGGCCTTTTTAGGCCACATGTATTGGACCTTGTTTGTGTTTAAGTCTGGTTTTTGACATAATTCCCATAAAAACGTCTCATATAAAACGTCCTTACTCAATAAAAATCGCTATGAATTGCAATATATTTTTATTCTAAAAGGTAATCAATATCAAGATAAATTTCGCTGTCGTATTTTTCTGTTAATTAATATGAATGATAATATTGCCAAGCTTGTCATTAAATATATGAATAAGATGAACATCCTTCACGGTTATATCCCATCAAGATAGATTATTGCAGATCCTAGAAAAAAATAAATCGATTAAAATGCAACGTAAAGCTAAATCGACTAATCAATATTGTAGTTGGTGAGATAGTATAATAGTAGTACTTATTTCTAAACTGCTCCACATTTATCACATCGTTCGAAGTTGATTAACTTCGGATCGATGGAGTTGATGATAAGAATCTTTTTATGTAAAGATAATTGGAGGACAGAAGTGCAATGACCGCCTGTCCGATGCAAATATCAGCAGTTAAACTTTAATTACCTTAATTGAATGAAAATAATTCATACTATTAGGCTATGAATAGCTCTGATACGAATTTGGGTACATTTTTTGTTAATGTTTCTGTTGGGTTCAGTAAGTTTGTTTATTTAACGAATTAGTATAATAATAATAATGAAACCTTTTATAATTTAATGTTCTGTCTTACATTTAAATTCTAAAATTAAACGTGATTACGATCTTACTAAATAAATACTAATTTTGATATGTCGATGACTAAGTACATAACATTTGGTAATTTTATTTACTCAGATCTTTAAAATGGCATTTAAAAGTTGTGGTAACATAAATCAATACTAAAAGTAAGTATGCGAACCAAATGTTTTTTACAAAACGAATGTGTTTAGCTACTACAATGGGTAGGTAAGTAGGTAGTCTAGGTTTGAAGTAATATTACGTCATAGTTTGTTCCTGAAAGGCTCATGGCTCGATAGAGTTACACCTTTGTATTATACGGTAATACACATTATACATGCCATATAATACACAGAATATGCAGCATCTGAAATACTACAACACTACAATTACAACAAAATGATTTTATTTTATTATACAATACAATTAAGCGCTCTAAAATAATTTCAAATTCTTCTTCGGCTATAACAATAAAATTGATGCAAATTAAAATTAAAATGTAATAAAAATAGTTAATGATAAATTATGAAACTCGACTAAAACTTTTATTTCCGCTAACGGACAACACTAATTGCTATGAAATGCACCTGGCTAGCGCGTGCCACAATCTAAATGTCACACTTGACGTTAAAGAAACCAATTAAACTTGACCCCTTTTATAAACAACGACTAACCGTTCAATAACTCCTTTTATATCGGTTTTGTAATTAAAAGTTTTTCCACATAGAATTCTGGCGTTCACATTTTAAAAGTTATTTATTCAAATAATAACATGGTAAAAATCCTTGGGTATTTTACATTGTCACTTTGACAACGGTGGTAACTGCCATAGATTAAAAATGTTAAAGAAAGAAAGAGGTTTTGAATAAATTCCTGTCTTTATTTTTAGTGCGACTCGTAAATTACTAGTTTATTAATTTACAGAATAATTGCTAAGAATTTTAGAAATTGGCAAAGTACCTTCATGGTTGCGATATAAAACAAAAATGGCTTTATATTTTTTTCGGTATGTAGCAACACATGGTTGTTCGTTTCTCACATTAAATACTTGCAGATGCGCCAAGTGAATCACATGTTCGGACTTGTGAACTAACGAGATGCAAATTATGCATGTAAAATACCCATATAATATAAATTAATATCAATACAAAAGGAACAAAATCAGTAGCTTATGTTTGAGACAAATAATATTTCACTTAATAATCTAACAACTAGAATCTGTTCGCTCTAGCGTGTAATTTATTTTCGTGCGTATTTCCTCTATAATAATATTATTATGTATAACGGACTTTATATATAAAAACATAAAAAAAAACTTTTTTGTTTGGCATTCCCACATTGAGCCTTGGTCATGAAATATAATAAAAAAAGTAAAGCCCTCGACCTCGTGAGAAACGCGCCAGTCAGAATGTCGTATTCTATTTTTAAAATTCAAATAATTTGACATTTGCTCATCGTGTCGTCGCGATACCATTTATATTTTTTATGTAAATTATACAAATGCACACACTAGAATGTTTGTTACATTAATTACTGAAGATTAAAATGTTTTCTTTAAGCCAGAAAAACATTGCACACAATTTACTACGCCAAAGAAAGTTTGCCAAATATTATTTCTGGACCACGCTGACAACGTGGCTCCGTACAAGCTGCACTATTATTAAATGTGTAATGTAAATAAGTACTCAAGTACCTATCAAAGAAAATAGTTCAAAGACGAAAATACGTGGACGACACAGTTGTAACATAAATCGCATCTGTGAACTATAGTTACACGAATATTGCTTCTACAAGAATTCGCCAAGAATTTTATGAAATAATTTCAAATGTATGTAAACAATAGTAGAACTCTATCTATATTTTGTCAGCCATTTGTCAGTTATCAAACAACCCGCTAATGATTTTAAATTGTTTACCGATAACGACTTATCGCTGACCAAAATGATTATTTGACTTGACATTAAGAACTATGCAAGCGAATGGGAATGTGGACCAGTTTCCAAAACTGTAATAAATAAGTTAAGTATTGATTTTTTTCAGTAGTATTTACCAATTTCACTAAAATCTCTCTTGGACCCAGTTCAAGTCTGAACACGAGCGCCTGTTATATTTGCTCTATTGCATTGATAGGTCAGTTTGATAAACCAAAATACCTGTATTGTTCCTTTTGGCTGTCTTCCAATTACATTCTGGTATTATCTTACCAATTTTGGACCAAAAATGGCAGAACTTTATCCGAAAGTCCTCATGCTAAACCGTAATGTTATTAGTATTTATAATTTACCATAATTGTATAATAATTAGACTACTGTTACATCTTTTGGAAGTTTTTGTGTTTAATAAACGATTTTATTTATTTATTATTATAATGTTTGTTCATAGCAAC